AAAAGTACTGGACCAAATAGCATTCCTACACAAATATTTATATCAGCATCAAAAGAATTAGGCTTTCAATCTTTGAGTACTTTAATAAACCAATTATTTGAAACTTGAGACTTTCCTGTGTTATTTTAAGTTGCTAAGGTTGTTTCTATTTTCAAAAGTGGATTTAAACCTGATTGTTGTAACTGTTGATCTATATCTTTACTTTCAAATATTAGCTAGCTACTCAAAAGGTTCATGTTTAATAGACTAGAAAGCTTTTTAAATCAATCTTTACAAACTTTAATTTAGTTTTTGCAAGAAGCACAATTCAAATGCTTGTTGACATAACTGAGATAAAATGTGAAGCCCTTTACCAATAAAAGTTTGCTGCTGGAGTGTATGTTGATTTGCTTCTAGGTTTACATCTATTAGGGTTCCACAAGATGGAACTTCAATAGATGTAAACTTAGTATTGGGTTTGAGTCCTCTCCTTTTCCTCATTTATATAAATTATTTGTACACATGTGTCAAATTTTTGGAAGCCTAATTTTGCAGACAAAACCAATTTTATTATTGTAAGTAAATCTCTTAAAAACTTCAAGAAATCATGATCTTAATCATGATCTTTCATATTTGGTTCAACTAATTCTTTATTTGGTTCAACTAATTCTTTATTTGGTTCAACTATTACTTTATTTCCCTATATTTCCTTAAATACCAAAAAGTCTGAAACAGTTACATTTAAATCTCAAAACAACAAAATTACAAAAAAACTTAATTTCAGAATAAGCAGTCAAAAAATAAATACTGTAAATAAAATAAAATATTAAGGCATTATATTAGATAAAAAATCTTTTGTTCGACCAACAATTAAAAGTGATATGCTAAATAAGTTAAAATATGGCATTTTGTCCACTATGAAACATTGATAAATGCATGACCATATTTAATTCCCACTCCTAGAAAATCCAGAGAAAGTATTTTTAAATAAAATAAAAGTAACTTATAGTTTTTTTATATTAGTTTCACTTTATTTTTAAAAAATATTTTTGCAATTTAAAATAACCTTTTAGAAAAACCAGTGCATCCAGATGACTGTTTACCTACTGCTGTAGTGGCTTTCTCGGCTTTGGGGAAGTATTTAAAATTTTATAATAATAATTGAATTTTTGTCCCACAATGATAAATTTCAACCAGTATACAATAACATTGATCGTGATCTTCTGATGGTCCAGAAAACATAAAATTATAATTCTGGCAGGAAAATTAAGCAATGTGTTGAAATCCATGGGTACCTGAAAAATATCCTGGGATCTTGAAAATAATTTTCAGGATTTTGGAATTTTGGTTTATTATTTTTGTTGGAAATTTTCTGGGAACAAGTTCCTAGGGACAATCTCTACTTAGAGCCATTAAACTGAATTTTAGAGCTGTACCCTCATGAAGAAATAACATGAAGAGTGAAGAAATAACAGGAAGAGTTGCCTTGCCATTATCAAGAAGCTAATAAAGTAAATAAGACACCTCCAACTATATAAAAGACAAAAAAAAAAGAAAAATCACTATAAACATGACAAATACCAAACAGTATTGATAATAGAAAGCACACCTCTTCCAGCCACTGCTTAGAAAGTGAATCCTAAAAAGCAACAGGACATATGATTGATAATTGGTATAATTAAAATGGCATGAAAGTTGTGTCTAAAATATCAAATCATCTAAAATGCCCAGAATTGAAAATTATTGCAAAGTAAGGGGTAATTGTTAAACAAAATATGTTATCAAATATTGTTATCAAATTATCAAAACTTATTTCAAAAATTTATTATCAAGTTAACAAATGTTTTAGCAATTGACAATGTAAAAGGAAAGTAAATCAACATCATTAAACTGAATCAACATCATTAAACAACTGGCACATTATCAACAATAACCCAAAACTATCCAAATTGTTCCTACCAATATAATAATATATAAATATATTGCTTTAGCTACCATAAATTTTTTTTTTTAAATCTTTACTTCCAACAAGGCTGCAAGCAACCATATTTGAATTGGAAGTCACTGAAAGAGAAAAGATGAAGTTTATAAAGCAAAATAACAACTCCATTTTCTCTGCCCACTTTGTGATTAGTTTATTATAAGTATTTTTTTTTTTTTTTTTTTTTTAAATAAAACAAAAAGTTTTTTTTTGTTTTCTAGAAAGTTTATATTTTTCTTTAAAATTAACTATAAGTTTATGTTTGTGTTTAAATTTTATATTGCTCACCTTAATCTCTAGTATTCTATGCTTACCTTATTCTCTAGTATTCTATTAGATGTAAAGTTTTTAATAATGTTTTTCTGAAATATCTCAATCAATATTTTAAAGTACTAGTTACAGGAAATAACTCCAGGGCAGATCAGATTCAGGATCATCATGATAACCATGTTACTGGCATTATGTAACCCAGTACTACCTGTCCCATGCCCTGCTGTCTTGTAGGATTTTCTTTTTTTAGGCAAAGGCTAGGAGAAATAAAATTTGACTTAAAATTTCCCTGCCATGGAACTTCTGGTTGAGTAAAAGCTAGAGACAGTGTCTCAATAAAAGTACTCATCTTAAGCAGATGTTAACTGCATTCAGCTAAAGTTTCCCTGCCTTGGGGCTCTTGGATGAGTAAAGGCTAGAGAGTGTGTCTCAATAAAAATACTCATCTTAGGCATATATTAACTGCATCAAGAACTGTCTTGTAAAAGGCCTCCTAGGAATGACTATAGGGGTAATTAGAATAATTCTGTTGATCAGCCTAAAACCCTTGATTCATATATTAGGCTGGCATATATGTAAAGGTCTATTACATTGTTTCCTGCCATTCTTATGTATGCATATATTTACACTGCATTGTTTCCATTCCTGCAGATGATAAATGCTGAACCTTCTTAACTCTTCTAGATTTTTGCTAGTTTCTCTTTTATAGTGGTCATGCCGCTCTTTATTTTATCTCTTAATGAGGGTACAACTTTAAAACTTAGTTTAATGGTTCTGAAGCCGGCAGTTTAAGCTTTTACAAACTCTGTGGTAGCTCTCAAAGAGTCTGATTCCATTATCAGCTGCAAGATATAAGAGTATTAACAGTAATATGTTGTCATGGATGGTATCCATGTTAATGCTTATAGTATGCATTGTCAAAGCCACATAAGTTGCCCTAAGTTATGACTTAGGGCACCTTATGTGCACTAAGTCATAACTTAGGGAACATAAGGTGTGGGGGCACATAAGGTGTGGGAAGCTATGCAGTTGTCACTGTCCTGATAATTAACATAAGGGGTTAATTATCAGGACAGAGACAACTGCATAGCTCATCGATTTGGAAGCTGTGCTTTGTCTATAAATGAGCTAAGTTCTTTTTAAACTTGAATCATGCCTAATCTAGCCAAAAATATTAAACATAAAAAACCATCCCCACCACCTAACGCTTTCAAAATATCTTTCACAAATGTTCATGGCCTGCAAAGTAACTTTCCATCAGTTGAATCTCTCCTCTTGCAAAATTTACCAAATAGCATGCTCTTTGTGAGACTAATTCAAATTTTTCTGTCCCTTCTTCAGTTATCAGCACTGATGAGTACTATCCTTTGATTTGCAAAGATTCTAATTGTCACATGCTTGGCTTGGGGTATACTTATGCATCAATTCACCAATTTATTAAGAAATCAGGTTTGAATCCATTTAACATTTTTTGATATGCTTTAGGCCTATGAATTATGGAAATTCTAAATACTGTATTTTAATTTTATTAGGGTAATAGTTATAAAACTGTTTGAATGCAAGTTATATCTTTGCAAAAAAGTCGATGAAAATATATTTAATAAAGAATTTTGGTATTTTGGAGTTCTGTTGTTTTATTTTTTAATAGATATCTTCATTTCATTTAAAAAGCATTTAAAAATTTTGTTTAAAATTTTGTTTAAAGTATGGCTATTTAAAGTTTAATCTAAGAGCTAAAACATTACATTAGGACACATTGTAAAAACATGGCTATTAATCATAGAACAAAAGTTCTAGGGTTAATAGCCATAAAAAAATCAACAACATCAGTAACCATATAAAAGTCAACAGCATTAATAGCCATATAAAAGTCAACAAACAAAATATAGTTCGTTTATATTTTTTAGATAAATTACAAACAAGCTCACTTCCCATTACCAAATATGTTTACAAATGTTTTATGTTAGACTTAACACTATTTTAAACTTGATTGAAATTATTTTATGTTTTTAAAAGTTTACTTAAATTTTCAATTTAATTTATGTTTTGTACTTTTAGGGACTACTTGCCAACTTATTGACAATGCCAACTTATTGATAACTTATTGATAAATGCCAACTTATTGATAAATGCCAACTTATTGATAATGCCAACTTATTGATAACTTATTGATAAATGCCAACTTATTGATAACTTCTATAAAAAGTTTACTACAATTAGAGAACAATTGTATACTTAAAGCAACATTTTAAAATTTAAGTTGAAACTTTAAGATCCAGCAATATCACAAATAGAGTCAATATGATCTAGCATTTATGTAACAGATGACAAATAATGTAATGTTTACATCTATACCAGTTTGTTAGAGAAGAAGGTTTCAACCAAAGTTTTCTGTTTACCCTTAAGTCTAAAGTTAAAATTGTATTCAACATAACCCTTAGAGGGTATATTTAGAATACAATTTGCTTGAAATTTTGTGTATTTAGGAATTAGTTGTTGAACATATTAGATCTATCTTTAAGTACAAAAGATTTTAACAAAAAGAAAAATTTGGTGATTGTAAATTTGTTTTATATCCTTTCAAGAATTTTTAATATTGTTGATGTTAAGATAATAAGTTGTTTCTATAATTTTATTTTATGTTTATTAAACAAATTTTAGTTTTGTTATTATTTGATTTATATATTATACTATATTTATTATTTGTTTTTAGTAAGTATTGACTTCCAAGAATTTCATCTCAGTAATTATCATCATAAATTCTTTTTAGATAAATTATTTCAAGGAGCAGTTTCTTTTCAATCTACCAAAGATAACAAGTATCTTCGTCTTGGGTATACGGTTATTAGATTTACCACTTTTTCACCATTTTATTATGCTGGTGATAGAGCATTTTATATCCATCAAAAGGATTCATATCTTTCTATTCAGTCAGCACGTCCTTCTCATCTTTTTAATTTTATTGGAAAAAATGATGATAGCTTCAAAGTATTGTCAGATGCAAATGTTCCAGCTTTTTCTCTTGTTGTGATTGGTGAGTTTGCATTATATTAATTTTTTATACGATGGGATATAATTGATTTGAATCATTAAAAAAACCTCTTTTTTCCGAATAAATTTTTAAAATCAGTTTTTAACTTCTAGGTAATCCAAAAAATATATATATATATACTTACACAATTAACTTATATTCTATCATAAATTTTTTTATTCATTTGAAAAACTGTTTAGGAATTGCACTTGTATAACTTTATTTTTATACATAATATTTTTTTTAACTTACTAGTTCCAGACAAACGTTATAAACAAAAAACCATAATAAATGCTTTTTAAGGGAAGAGTAAACATGTCAATTGCTCACATTAATGGATTAAAAAAAGCGCAATTAAATTAATTAGTAATTAATAATTAATTAAAATGTAAATAAGTATGATAGCCTTTGCTATCTATCTAAAAATTTTTAAAACAAATATAACTTGTACCTACATTTCAGGTCAGATTTATCCTGCTACTGGTAACATGTAACCCAGTACAATCTGCTTCATGTCCTGCTGCCTTGTAGGATACGCCTTTTTAGGCAAAGGCTAAGAGATGCCAACTCCGATATAAAACACCCTCTGCCTTTAGGTTCTTGGTTGAGTAAAGGCTAGAGATGGTGTCTTAATAAAAATACTCATCTTGTGCAGAAGTTAAGTGCATCCGGCTGCTGTCTTGTAGAAGGCCTCCTAGGCAAAGATTTAAGGGGTAAACAGATTCTTTCTGTTGACCAGTTTCGCACCCCTTCTTCATCTATTAGGCTGGCACAGATGTATTTTTAATACATTGTTTCCAGTTTAAGATGTTGAATGCTGAATCTTCTTGACTCGATGCATGGTTTCGCTTGTGTCTCTGTTTTTATGACTAGGCAACTCATTCTATTACCTTCTAATAAGAGTACAGCTCTAAAACTCAGTTTTATGGTTCTGAGGCCGGCTGGCAGTCAGGTTTCCCGAAATCTGTGGTAGCTCTCAGAGAGGCTGATTCCATCAACAGCTGTAAAATATCAAAGTACTAACAGTGCCATGTTGTTCATGGATGGTGTCCATGTTTGTATTTTTGGTGTGCATTGCCAAAGCCACATCGGAGCCCTTTGCTAGGGCTTAGGGTTTATTAATAGTAATGATGCAATTGCTTAGGCTATAAAACAGTGTACTGAGTACTATCTATGTTTCGAGTCAAGTTCTTTCACAAATTTAAAAATGAATAAAGTAACAAAAACTATAAAACACAAAAAACCACAGTCATCACCAAGTTTGCTAAACCTATCATTCACTAATATTCGTGGTCTTCAAAGTAACTTTTCTTCTGTTAAGTCTTATCTCTTGCAAAGTTCATCAGACCTACTTGCTCTTTGTGAGACTAATTTGAGTTCAGCTGTCTCATCTTTTGATCTTATTGTTGATGGTTACCTTTCTTTAATTTGTAAAGACTCCAATAGTCACATGTTTAACTGGGCATTTACATTCGTAAGAATTCATCCATTTGTCGGAAAACTTGGTTTGAATCCACGGACTACTCTTTTATGTGCTTTCGTTTAGCACCACTTCACTCTATCACCTTTCTCTTTGTTCTATATATTGCTCTCCTTCATCTCAAGACTGCACACTTCTTGATGTTATTTCTGATCATATTGACCAAGCCCTCTCTTTATCCATCAGCCAATATTGTTGTTGTCGGTGACTTTAATGTTCATCACACTAAATGGTTTGGCTTTAGTGTCAGTGACACTGCAGGCATTTAAGCCCACAGCTTTTGCCTTTCTCAATCTCTTTACTCAAATAGTCATCTTTCCAACCAGCTTTCCAGACAACCCGAATCATTTACCTTCTCTACTTCACTTGTCTCTTGTTTCTGACCCTAGTCAGTGCTCAGTTTCTCCACATTCACCCTTAGGTGCCTCCGATCACGGTTTGAGTCTCTCTAAAACTGTTATCTCATTCTTCTTTATCGTCAGACTCCCCCTATCATCGTCACATCTTACAACTACCTTAAAGCTGTCTGGGACTCTTTCCATGATTTTCTTCATGTAATGGCCCTTGGGTAGAAATCTTTGGTCTTCCTGTTGACAAATGTGCTTCTAACATAACTTCGTGGATTCAGGCTGGCATGGAATCCTTTATTCCCTTTTGACGATTCCAGGTCAAGCCTCACTCTTCTCCATGGTTTTTATCTTATTGTGCTGCTGCAATTGCCAATATAAACCATTACTTCCATATCTATCAGCAAAACAATTCTCCAGAAAACAGACATCTGTTTATTACTGCTAGGAATCATTGTAAAAAGGTTTTGTCTAACGCCTAAGCCCGCTATTCTCAGATCATGAATTCTCATATTTCATCAGTAAAAATTAGGCTCTCGTGACTTCTGGAGAATCTTTAATAGTATCAATAATAAGGAGCAAGTCTGTAATTCCACCTCTTTTCTATGGTTCAGGCTTTGTCACCTCACCTAAAGACAAAGCTGAATTGTTTGCTAAGAACTTTTCATCAATATCTCTTGATTCCACTAGGAACACAGGTTGCGTTCTACCTGATATAGCTGTCAAACAGGTTGATCCATTGCTCGAACATCCGTATCACTCCAGCTTCTGTATCTAAAGCGACTTCCTGCTTAGACTCCTCTACAGCTTGCGGCCCGGACAACATACCTGTTATAGTCTCCGGAGTGTTCTCCGCAGTTGTCGTCTATCCTTTCAAAACTATTCAACAAGTGCTCATCAGAGTCTTGGTTTCCAGCCTGCTAGAAAGCAGCATCTGTTATCCCTATTTTAAAAAATTCTGGAGAGCGATCCGATTCGTCTAACTACCGTCCCATTAGTCTTCTTCCTATCATGAGCAAGGTTTTTGAATCTTTAGCTAACAAACACCTAATCTCTCATCTTGAACCTAATAACTTACTTTCTGATCATCAATATGGATTTCGATCTTCTTGTTCTATGCCTGATTTTTTTGGCAGTAATAACTGATAGGTTTATTGTGCATTAAATAAAGGTGGAGAGGTTAAGGCCATTGCTCTTGACATTTCTAAAGTGTTTGATAAAGTTTGGCATGCTGGTCTTCTCCATAAGCTCTCTTCTTATGGTGTATCTGGAAACATCTTTAAGATTATTGAATCTTTCTTTTCCCATTGTAGTATAAAAGTTGTCCTTGATGGACAGCACTCTTCTTCTTATTCTGTAACCTCAGAATAAGAAGAAGAGTGAGGTTCAATCCTTGGCCCTATACTTTTTTTAATTTACATTAACAATCTTCCAGATATTCTCACATCTAAGGTAGCATTGTTTGCTGATGGTACTACCATTTATTCTTGTCACGATAAGAAGCTAACTCCCTCTGATTGCTTGCAGGGGGCATTTGAACTTGAAAAGGATCTCACTTCTGCTACAGTATGGGGCTCACAGTGGCTGGTGAACTTTAATTCAGGTAAAACTTAATTTTTTTCAGCCAATTCTTATCGCAATAATTTAGACCTTCCTATATTTATGAACCATAATGTACTTGATGAGTCTCCTACCCTCTATCTTCTAGGATTAACTCTTACTTCTGATCTTTCTTGGAAACCTTATATCAAATCCGTTGCAAAATTAGCATCTGCTAAAGTCGCTTCTCTTTATCGAGCTTGACACTTTCTAACTCTGGATTCTATTCTCTATCTCTATAAATCTCAAATCCGGCCTTGTATGGAATACTGTTGCCATATCTGGGGCGGATCTTCTAATGATGCCCTTTCTCTTTTTTAAGACAAGGTGCAAAAACGCATGGTAAACATAGTTGGACCTGCTCTTGCAGCCAACCTTCAACCTTTGTCACATCGTCGTAATGTTGCTTCTCTTTCTCTTTTCTACAAATACTACAATGGGCACTGCTCTAAAAAGCTAGCGTCTCTTGTGCCATCAACTAAAATTCATTCTCGTGTTACTCGTCATTTAATTAAGTTGCATCCTTTTTCTGTTACTGTTTCTAAGTCCTCCAAAAACTCTTATTCGTCTAGTTTTTTTCCTTGAACATCAGTTCTTTGGAATTCGCTTCCTTCATCTTGCTTTCCTGATTCATATAATTTGCAATCTTTTAAGTCGTCTGTCAATCGTTATCTTGCTCTACAATCTTCATCTTTTCTCTTCCAGTAACTTCCAACACTAATTAGTGGTTGCTTGCTGCCTTGTTCGAAGCGAAGATGATGAAAAAAATAAAAAATAAATAAATTTTTTTTTCAATTGACTTACACTGAGTAGTAGTTGGAACTTGCAGTTAATTAATTCAAAAAAGGCAAAATATCACTCATTAATCTTCAGAGGCATACAACATACTAAAGACAACTTCACAAGTCTGTGCACAACAAAGTCCAATCACATGTTAGAGGTACAACTACTGTGCTAAGTACAGTGTTTTTAATTTGTTTTTGTTTTGGTATTTTTTTCAATTTGGGACAGCAGAATGTTTGCAGATGTCTTGGCAATAGTTGGGGGATACTTGGTATCATCAATTCAAAGGCACCTATTTTCATCAAACAATATACTAGGACAAGAATGGTGTAAAGGTTTCTCAAAATGATGGGGTCATAAACTAAGTGTCAAAGTAGCAAGCAATATTTTGTCTCTCAGGGCTTCTTTTTGTACTAAGGACAAAATAACCAGTTATTTTAATACACTTTAAAAACAATAACTTGAAGCAAACATTAACAAAAACACTTTGTGCAATTTGTGGAAATTTGATGAAATTAGATTTTCAGGCGATCAAAGTAAACAGCATATAATTTGCAGGTTTGCTGCTAAATGCCCTTTAAAATTGGTTAGTAACAACAATAAAATTAATTACTAATTGTGTCAACACTTCCGGTACCATTCTGCCACCATTCATAGTTTACAAATCAATATCATGTCTGGTGTGTAGGAGGACCACCAAACACCGTATTTACAACATCCAAGTCGGGTTGGATGGAAGAGAAACAATTTATTCGATGGCTCACTAAAATATTTATACCTTCAATCAAGTTAAT